ACTTTCAACTTCTTGCCTTTTTTTAAATGTAAGGAGTAAAAGTATAAAGTAGGCTAAAAATAATTACTCAAGTAATACCCAAAAATTCTTCTCAACTACAGTAAGAAAGTATTTGGACTTAGTTACTTTACAACTCTGAATTAGAACAAGTGTCACTGATTGACTGAKTGTAGGTCTCTATGAAACCTATGTTCTGTCAGATATGGTCTTGTTTCTCCTCTGCTCCTGTCTGTTGATGTTGTCTCGATGCCAGAACTTGGCCAAAACTCGCTCCTGCTGTGTGACAGCGCTGAAGTCCACCGTCTTTATTTGAGGCAAAGCAGAAATCACACAATTCCTACAAACACACAGACAAAAAAGCAGTTACATCAGCCAAAACAAAACTGAATGCTGAAGACACTTACAGCCATGCAAACCAAGTTAAAAAAATTGTCACAATGATGCTCAGTTTTCACTTTAAATCTGTGAAAAAACTGCAGATTTATAAGAAACTTACTCGGTGGAAGACAGTTTAACAGTAGCCATTTTTTGGTGCAAACTGATAAAGTTTAGAGACAGGTCACTACACTGGATGTTGAATTTGATCAGTTTTTTAGCATCTGTTGCAGAATTCATGCATGCGTACTACCTGTACGTCTTGTTTTCTATGGGATTTCCATGCAGGGTGATGGAGTGAAGATGAGGCAGAACGCCCAACCTGTCCACCTCTGACAGAATGAAAATGTTGTTCCCATGAAGATGTAACACACGGAGGCCATGCAGCTCGCACAAAACCTGCAAAAATATTTCAGCACAAGCTATACTTGCAACAAGCAATTCAATACAAGGCACCTTTAATGAAACAGATTTACTGTTTAAAACAAAGAAAGAAAGAAAACACCTGGTCTATGTGTACGATTTTTATTAAAGGAAAGGTCGAGGCGTGAGGGTTCAGCCAGGAAGTGGCTGACAGTGCTTTGGAGCTCATGCAGTTCTGTGATGTTATTGTTATTCAGACGCAGAGATCTGCCGAGGTATTTCCTCTCTGGGTTTCTCTTTAAAGGCCGCAGACCTCTCCTGGGTTCCAAGGTGACTGCATCTAAAACAGTAATTAAACTGAACCTTTTTGTACTGTTCATGGTGGGGAAAATGCTCAATAATACTCACACAAAACAAAGCATTGGTAATAATCTTTGTTCAAAATCACAACACAAACATGCAGAAATCAAACGCATTTGTTGTAACTCGAGTTTTTCTGTATCTTGAAGAATCAAGCAGTGAAAATGTTGGAAATACTGAGACTCCTTTTAGAAAACAACCCACATAYTTTACCTCCACAGAAGGGTATACCCACCTGTGACACCCACCTGTCAGTTTGCAAATACTTCTGAAAGATAAATCGATTGGAGCTCCGTACATTGTTGAGACAGCAGTGAACACCTCACCCACCTGTAAATACAACATGAGTATATTTAACACACACATGTTGCTGTTGTTGCAACATTCTGCTCCATTCTATTAAATATGGAAGCCCATTTCTGCCACCCTGAGAAAGAAATAAAACTTGTATCTCATAATTATGACTTAGATAGCTAAGTCATAATTATGAGATACTGAGATACTATCTCATAATTATGAGATACTATCTCGTAATTATGAGATACTATCTCATAATTATGAGATACTATCTCATAATTACGAGATAGCTAAGTCATAATTATGAGATACAAGTTTTATTTATTTTTTTATCAGGGTGGCGGAAATGGGCTTCCATAATTAAACTTACCAAYCGAGCTGTGGATAACAGCGTTTCCTAGGAAACTACAACAAACAAGTGCATTGTGGGAAATGTAGTAATCCAGTCTAGATTACAGCAACTTTATTTAATTAAACTGTATCACTTTAGTGGTTTGCTGGTTTTGTTAATCACATTTTAGATACTAAACTATTTAAGTATCCAGTATCAGAGTGCTTTAAAAGAATAAAATACTCAAACCAGAACTACTGTGCGTAACGAGTGAGACTTGCTGCTGTTGTGTTGTAAAAAATAATAACCCGTTCCGAAAAGTGTCTCTGTATTACCGAGAGGGAGAAAGTTACAACTACAAAATGTGCACGATTTACCACCATCTATCTGTCTTTCAGTTTATTTATCACTGAGTAAAACGTTGCTTTCCACGACAAGGTGTTTTATTTGGGAGGTGTGCTTTTGTTCGATAAAACACCCAGATAAGAAGGGGTTGCAGAGAACCCATTTCTCTTATGGAACAGCACGTAAAAAAAGAGGGGTGCGTCGTGACGTCACACGCCGCGTTGGCTCACGCAACAAGCGGTGAAAAGTTTTTCAGAGCCCCCCTCCTCTGTATGTTTTTGTTGGGGGAAAAGTTGCTGGAAGTTCGGTGGTTTGAATGTAGCGTGTCCGCAGAGCTTCGGCCCCTCGTTTAAAGAGGCAATGCGACTCGTTTAAAGTCGGACATTTTCAGGGTTTTTTTTTAATTCCTTCGCGTCTTTTTCGGCTCGGAACTAAAACAAGATTAAGCAAAAAGCAATCTCAGTCAGTGGCCGTTTCATCCAGCTTTAGCTGCTAGCTCCGCCGCTAGCTAAAAAAAAGAAGAAAAAAAAAGTCCCCCAACAAAGTTATCGCTACCTCGCCTGTTCATCGCTCCGTTCTTCTGTGAAAAACTTCCAGGTTTGTGGAGAAGGAAAAAACTGCAGAAATGGCGGAAACCAAAATAATTTATCATATCGACGAGGAGGAGACGCCGTACTTGGTGAAGATCCCCATAGCTGCCGAAAATATAACTTTGCTGGATTTTAAGCAGGTTCTGAACAAGCCGAACTACAAGTTCTTCTTCAAGTCTATGGACCAAGACTTCGGGTGAGCTTTTTTCTGCAAGTTTAATAGATAGAAAATCTGATACAAACTAATTGTGTCAGTACTTTCTGAGTACAATTATTGGACCAGCTGCAGTGGGAATATAAATGAGTTATTTTCCTGCTACATCTTTAAGTAAGTGTTTGCAGGAGGAAACATCATCCTTACAA